TCCCCAAGGATTAAACAGTTCTTAAAGTCTTCTCTGCTGTGTCTGGCTCGCTGGTACTCTTGCCAGGGGGAAGGCTTTCTTTCTTGACTTTGCTTTTTTATAAAAGATAGGAAGAACTTCCCTTTTCACCTCAATAGTAATGATTCTATTTACCCTCTCACATGACCTCCATCTTTCTGTAGGGCACCTCCATGTGAATTCCTGAAGTTACACTAAAAGACCAAACTCATGTTGTTGATGTGAGTCCACCTAATGGCAATCCCATGTGTTACAGAATAGAACTACCACTCTATAAGGTTTTACTGGCTGTAATTTTTAGGAAGCAGATCACCAGGCCTTTCTTCCTTGGTGCCACAGGATAGTTTGAACCACCAACCTTTCAGTTAGTAGTCAAGCAATCGCAGATGTTTGCACCATTCAGTGACCTCTTACCTAACGTAACTTTAAATTAACCATGACCCAAACTGCCTTCCCTATCAAATAAACACATATTAAATCAGTGCTTCCATTACTATTTCAACTATTTAGAAAATGCTTTTTTCAGATATCATATCCATTTCCTGGTTGCTTAAGGTAGGAATGCAAATCCAGCTCCTGTTATTCCATCCTGGCTAAAAGCAGAAGTTTCCAATGATAATGTGAACTAGGAGCTACAATGGAAAGAACATAGACTTTGGGGTTTAGAAAGAAAATACTTGAGATAGTTGACTTTGGGTTAGTTAGTAAAACTCTCCAAGATCCCAGACAAGCATTGTGAATCTGCACAAAGTAGGCCCCTAACACAGATGCTTCCTGCCTGCAAACCTCTATTTCTCTCCCTAAAAACCTAACCTCTACAAAGATAAAATGGTTTATACAGGTGAACAACTGATTCTGAGTCTGATATAATAGTTACTTCTGAGGCATTTGTTGGCTGCCATCTGGGCAGATGTCAACTTCTCCCATCTTTTAAGAAGGAAAAGAAAGCCACCAGATTTTCAGAAAACACGGTCAAAGAACCAACAAGCATTCATTAAAAGGTTTTACAACCATGTTTGTACAAAGTAATATAAAAATGTAAAACTGCCAGCCCACCTTTTCTAATCTCTTGGGGAGTTATATGACATAAAGCAGTCACACTTACCTGTACTGCCACCCAGTGACCAAGTTGGTGTACTTCATTAAATAACCGGACACATTTTCCATGTGATCACTGTTTCCAAAAGAACAGAGAGAGCCAGAGTCAGTGGGAATAAAAGAAATCCTAAGAACCTAACTGTACAGGTTTGAAAACAGCTACAGACTCAGATATATAGTCTATAAATGGCTCAAATTTTCTTCAGAAGTAAGGCACTTTACCCCCAAAGTTTCATATCTGCAGAACTTTTATTTCATCATATTTCTTCAAAATGTCACATGCCAACATGAGGGACAGGGCAGGCACTATATAAGAGGAGGTTAGCAGAAGAAATACGAAAGTAGCGGGAAACACACGGAGGAATGTAATCGTTAAAACGAATAGAGGTAAATATTGTAATTGATGGTACATGGAGGGATTTACAACCACATAATGAAGCAAAGTATATGATCTGTTGAATTTAAAACCAGTGATCTCTGTAAACCTTCTCAATTCACTATAAAAAGTTAAAATTTAAAAAAAGTACAATAAGCCATAAATTACAACTATTCCAAATACAAATAGCAAGTTATTGAAATATCCAATCACATAGATATAGAACAGATATTCTAGAAACATGAATAGTATTTTATAACTTACTCAAACTTGTGATAAAATTCAGTTTTATGGTTCTAGAATAACTACAAAAGGTCTCTAGATCAAATAAATAGTGCTTCTCAAGCTTGGTGGGACACAAAAAAGGCCAATCTGTTGTGTCTCTAATTTCTTGGATTTCTAAACTGAAGATCCTATTTTTGATGACAGTATGATACCTCATTCCTACTCTCCCACCCAGATGGTGGTGTTGTGCTGTGGAGTCAGTTCTGACTCATAGTGAGCCTGTATAGGGTTTCTGAGGCTGTAAATCTTTACAGGAGCAGAAAGCCTCATCTTTCTCTTGTGGAGCAGCTGGTAGATTTGAACTGTTGATCTTACTCAGTAGTCTAACTCGAAACGCTACTCAGATGCTGTTATTAAATGCTGTCAATTAGATTCCAACTCATAATGACGGTGTAGGGTTTCCAAGAAGCAGCCTGGTGCATTTGACCTGCCAACCTTGTGGTTTGCAGTCCATTGCTTATCCTATAGTGCCACACCAGGACTCCAGACAGGCATAAGGAAAAGGACCTAAGTCTTGCCCCTGGAAAGATTTTATTAAGAACTTGCAGCGCTAGCCTTACTAGAATTGAGCTTCTTTACTCCCTACTCCCTTCCACCCCCATCTTTTTGTTTATATGTATGTTATGTTATAGTATTATGTCAAATATGCCATTAATACTCTTTTCCAAAATTTTAAGATTCTCTTATACCTATGAAAGAGTGGTGTAAATGGCTTGCCCATGGCTCTGAAAGCATAGTGGTTATGAGTCGGGCTGCTAACCTCAACGTCAGCAGTTTGAAACTATCAGTGGTTCCACAGGAGAAAGATGAGGCTCTCTGCTCCTGTAAAGATTAGCCTCAGAAACCTGATCCAGGGTCACTATGAGTCGGAACCAAATCCACGGCACACCACCACCAACATTACTTTAAAGGTTGGCAGTTCAGAATCACCCAGTAATTTATTTATTTCCTACAGTCAAGAATATCCTATGAAGCAGTTCTATTCTATAACATTTGGGTTCACCATGAGTCAGAACCAACTCAGTAGCAAAGGGTGTGGATTTTGGTTTATACTTAGCAAAGGAGTACCTGGGTAGAACAAGGATTTAGCACTTACCTACTAACTGAAAGGCTGGTGGTTCAAATCCACCCAGAGGTATCTCAGAAGGGACTGGCAATCTATTTCCAAAAGATCACAGTCACTAAAAACTTTATGGAGTGTTGTTGTTGTTTTTGTAGTTAAGTGCCAACAAGTTGGTTCTGACCTATAGCAAGCCTGTATAGAGTTTCCGAGGAGCAGCTGATAGGTTTGATGGTAAAACACGTGGCGACGCCATGAATCAAAACTGACTTGATAGCAACTGGTTTGGTTATATTTATGAAAAGATACATGTACTTCTTTTTATCATTTATATTAAGACTTCCTTAAAACTCACTCCTGAAAATTTCATTTTATACTACAAAAAGCCACAGAAGTTTCTGTCTCTACTAATCCTAAAGGGTCAGAGAAAAAGAGGAAGACCCCCAACGAGATGGACTTGGCCAAGTGGCAGCATCGATGAACTCAATTGAGCGTAGCAACAGTAATGAGGTTGGCCCAGGATCGGGCAGTGTTCCGTTCTGCTGTGCATAAGGTCGCCATGGGTCAGTACCGACTCGATGGCACCTAACAACAACAACAACAATCCTAAATCACAGCATATTTGGTACAGTTTCAGTTAACCAACAGCCAGGAAATTTAAAGTGTGGGGAAACCCGCAACCATTAGAAAATAGGTTCCAAACACATAAGGAAGGGAGAACTGACACACCAATAGAATAAAGTTCAAAAAAAGTTTAGCTCGATCTGAATGATAAATGAAAAAGAACTGAAACTAGAGATACTCACTCAAGTAAACAAAATAACCAATTTGACAAGATTATGTTGTTGTTGTTGTTAAGTGCTGTCGAGTTAGTTGCGACCCATAAGGGTTTCTGAGGAGCAGCTGGTGAATGTGAACTGCTGATCTTGTGGTTCAAACTGACACCACAGTTCAGCACACTAACCCACAGCATCACACATGCTGTCAAATCAGTTCTGACTCATAGCCACCGTGTGTACAACAAAACAAAACACTGCCCAGTCCTGTGCCATCCTTAACAATTATTGTTACATTTGAGTCCACTGTTGCTGCCTGTGTCAATTCATCTCATTAACAGTTTTCCTCTTTGTTTGTTGACCTTTTACTTTACCAACTTGATGTCTTTCTCCAGGGACTGACCCTTCCTGACAACAATGTACAAAGTACTAGAGAGACAAAGTCTCACCACCCTCTCTTTTCCAAGGAACAATCCTGCAGTACATCTTCCCAGATTTGTTTGTTCTTCTGGCAGTGCATGGTACTTTGCAAGATTCTTTGCCTACACTAGCATTCAAATGCATCAATTCTTCGCCAGTCTTCCTTATACAATGTCCAGATTTCACAAGCATATTAGGTAATTGAAAAGACCATAGGATGGGGCAGTAGCACCTTAGACCCCAAAGTGCTATCTTTGCTCTCCGACACTCAAAGTGGAAAGGTTTCCAAAAAAATTTTTCATAAGACAGTCCTTGTTACCCTCAAAAAATGAGTAAGTGCATTGTCATGATGGAAAAAATTTTCTAGATGCAACTTTCCTGGCCTTTTTCTCAACAATATAGTTTTCCATTTTCTTAAAACTTCATAATAAGCCCTTGTAATCTCCCTGTGTCCCTCAAGAAAATTTATCATCATCCCTTTGTAATCCTAAAAAACAGTCACCAAAACATCTCAATGTCCAGAAAACAAAAATCCTCACCACTGGACCAATAAACAACATTCTTATCAATGGAGAAAAGATTCAAGTTGTCAAGTGTTGCAGACCGTGAAGGCCTGGTCAGAGGTTCGAGGCCCTATAGGCCCGTGTAACACATCTAGCCACCTGGCAGTTAATAACAAATTATTTTTATTAATTGCAGACATGAAGCCCTTGATATACACAGATAAATGTAATATTTTCCTAAAAGCCAAGACTGTAAAATTCCAAACGCAAAGTTTTTCCCTCAGAGAATTCATTCAAAGTAAATTGGGTGGCTCCTTGGTTTGTTCCAAGGGCAGTAGGAATGCCCTCCCTAAAGTGTTTCCAGGTGCTGCCTATTCACCCAGGCGCCTCTTTTCCTGAAGAACCTGGGCTGGGCAGCCAACACAATAGGAAACCTCCCAATCCTCCCTTTCCTCCCTCCATTTAAGGCTAGGTGCTAAAAGGTATGTTAATTAAGCTTGAGAAACCAAGTTGCCGGTCCTGAGATTTGAACCTGCAAAGTATGATGTAAAGTTGCCTGAAGATCTGGAAAAATAAGATTGACAGCTGTACCTTGTCTTGGTCCCTCCTAGCTTTGTGTAAAGTACCTCCCCTAAATAAAAGGAAGGCGCAGAACGAATCCAGGTGCATTACGACTGGCAAGGCGTGCATTACAGCATGCAGGGGGCACAGTCCAGCCTTGCAACCATACTGCCTGTTTAGCTAAGATGTTTACTATGCAGGATATTACGGCCTTCATGGCTGAGATGTTTGCAATGCAGGATCTGCCTGATGCCAGTCCAGCATTCACTCTGGTTTCGGAGTGTCTCTTTGTCTCTCTCTTTGTGTCTCTGTGTCTCTTTTGCTATCTCTATCGCCGCTGGCTCTCCCCTCCTCGTGAACCAAACACTCGTGAACAACACAACTATGTCGAGGCAAGTCCCTGGCAGTCAAGGACTTCATTCTGCTTGGATCAACTATCAACACTCATGGAAGCAGCAGTCAAGAAATCAGATGACGTATTGCATTAGGCAAATCTGCTGCACAAGACCTTTTTAAAGTGTTGAAGAGCAAAAATGTCCGTTTGAGGACTAAGGTCCGCCTGACCCAAGCTATGGTATTTTCAATAAGCTCATATGCATGCGAAAGCTGGACAGTGAATAAGGAAGACCATAGAAGAATTGATGCATTTGAGTAACGGTGTTGGAAGAGAATATTGAAAGCGCCATGGGCTGCCAAAAGAATCAAGAGATCCGTTTTGGAAGCAGTGCAGCCAGAGTGCTCCTTGGAGGCCAAGATGGCCAAACTTCGTCTCTCATATTGACAGAAGGGACCAATCGCTGGAGAAGGATATCATATTTGGTAAGGTGGAGGGTCAGAGAAAATGAGGAAGACCCCCAACGAGATGGACTGGCCAAGTGGCACCATCGATGGACTTAAGCATGGCAACTGTAGTGAGGTTGGCCCAGGATCGGGCAGTGTTTCGTTCTGCTGTGCATAAGGTTGCTGCTATGAGTCGGTACTGACTTGATGGCACCTAAAAACAACAACATAACCTTCTGAGATGACCTCTCTGCCTTGAACTGAACTGGTCCAAGTGTATTACTGAGAGAACTTGTCTGCAACCATCACTAACTA